CTGATATCAAGGGCTCAAGTAGAAAGCAAATGTTTTGAGAAGGATGATGGCAACAAATGTACAAATGTGCTTGACGCAATGGATGTATGTATGGATTGTGATGAGTGGTAAGAGCCCCCAATAAAGTGATTAAAAAAAAAAAGGAATAAGGGTCATCTTAACAAAGAACTTGAAGAATATGGTTTTTGCGTCTTTCCTGTATTCTGCTAGATAACAACTTCAAAATAATAGAAGTAACAGAAGAGATTGATATTATGACTGGTGATACAATTAAAACACATAACTTGTAAAATCAAATAAGGTTTAAATGGAGAGAGTAATGACTACATGCTCTGACAATATAGTACCTCTGTTCTTAAAACTGGGGCAGAGAGTATGTGCAAAAACAAAGAAATTTTAACTGTTTTAACTTTTCTTAACAAATTATTTTAAGTAGTATTAGTATTTTATTATGAAATTCATGCAACTATAATAAATGAGTAAAATTATAAATTCTATCTTCAACATCCTCCATGCCCTTGAGACTCTGAATATGGAAGAACATTGGCATGGTTGCAATATAAAATTGGCTTAAAAACAAAACACCCTTTGGTCCTAAATTTAAATGGGAAAAATCAGTCTGAGCTCATTAAATTTCTAACTTTATGTAAGTGTACATCCATGCAAATTTCCTCATTCTGTCCACTGAAAAGCTCTCAATCCATTGACATGTTGCTCTGGTGTCAGTTCTGACTCATGGGGACCCTGTAGGACCGTGTAGAACTGCCCCGTACAGTTTCCAAGGCTGCATCCTGATACTGAACAGTTTGAGGTTTCAAACCACTGACCATTCAGTTAGCAGCCCAGCATTAACAGATGGACAACCAGAGGCCCATCTGAAAAGATCTAGGTTGTGGAAGTAAGGACTTTGGTATATAGACACACAGATAAGTATTGAATGGTTTTGAAATACCAATCCCTACTAAGAGAAACCGGAAATTCTTGGAGAAATGACTGATTCCTGATCTAGGGAAGAAAATATGAATACAAAACGACCCTTGTAACATATCAGAGGAGGTTTACCCTGCAATCTGAAAGCGGAGTGTTCTACATGAAACCTACTGTAAGCTAAAATGGTATAAAGAGGAGCAGCAAGTATTATTCATTTATAGGAGAACATTTTTCGAGAGCTTGCAGACTCCCAAAATAAACTACCAAATCATGCCCAGTAACACATAAGCCCTAAGCTAACACTACAGTATAGCTTACTGACACAGTTCAAAGCTATGGGGGCTCGAGGATGAGTGTAGCTCTTAGGGAAGAAGCCTGGCAAGGACTCCCTCCCTGCTCAGGATACACACCCCTCTTTAATAACCTTTTACAAAACAAATGATTGTTGTGCTTTTCTCCTTTTTTTGGTAAAGTGAGAGTGTTGGGAGTGAAATGGCATAGAGAGAACATTTGGAAAGTAGGGGATACCTA